GGGCTAACGTGACGCCCAATTAAGTGCGAAAGGTCAGACCTCGGGAAGAGTTTACTGACATTTTGGCGTAACTGCGTTGTGTGATCATGGTTACACCCACAGCCTGCTTCCGTCAGAATAGTAGGTGCACGTCAGGCCAGCCAGGAGCTGCGATGATCCCGCGTGTCCAATCCCTACAGCAAATCACGTGAATTACTCTAGAAGATGGATAAAATGACATAAAGAAGGATTTACACGGATCATCCCACCAACTTACAGATTCAGTGATCATTACCTCAATGCATCCCACTATAAGTTGAGAGCTCCTCTCTCATTAAGGGGATTTGCACATTTACTCTTGACCAACCTCTCTCTCTCTCTAGAATAGACAGCATTTGATACCTTGTATTCTCAGTGTAAAGTCAGTCGTCTAAAACGATCTGACCCTTATCATTAATAAAAACATCAGTGGACATAAGACTTGCTTCCTTAGCATCCGAATCACTTTAAAACTCCTTTCTCACTGCATTTGCTGTCATTTTCCTTTCTATTCACTTGTGTCTTTTGGGTCAACTCAACATTTCACACGTGCGTTTCGTTAGTGTCAAAATCACGCATCAACAAGTATGAACCAATTGTCATGAATTTGTGTCACAATAGCCTTGTTAACAATAACATAATTAGGAGATTAAATTTTCTTTTCTAAAAGTTAACAGTTGAATGCATTGCTTGCCGGGCTATGATCCCTTTTTTTTTTTTATTTGAACATATAAATACTTATTATTGATAGCTACATGATAGGAATCTAACAAACAAATATATGGAAACCATAAATATATTAAAAGGTAAACGTGTCACTAGAGAGTTCAACTTCACATCAAATCCAATCCATTACATTTAGCATTAACAAAAAAATGTTGATTTATTTATTGAAAATTGTTCTCTAATTATATAAGATACATAAACTTAAAAATATATATGATAATTTTTCTTTTTTTTGAATAACTGACACAATGAAGCGATTATTAAGGTCAACCAAACACCAAAGTGAGGGCTTTGTGAGTTATTACAACCGAATATGATTTGGGGTTGTCATTGCTTCTCCAATCACCTAAAATGTATTCGGTAAACATATTTATAAAATGATCTATTTCTTCCATAATCTATTTTATTGAAGGATTGTACAAGCAGATATCTAGCTTTTTAGAAGATTCAATTACCAAAATGCCCTAGAATTATACCTAAATTCTATTTTTTATAATTAATTTTTTGAACCAAATTAACAACATAATAAAAAAAAAATATTAAAAGAATTAAATTAAAAAGTTTATAGTTTTGAAAAACAAAATCTTGTCTGGACACATCATCGGACGATAGCCAATATTGTCGACCGACGAATGTTGTCCGAGGTGCATGTGATGACGCTGTCGACATATCAAGTTCGCGAGGAGGCGATCTAAAAGACTACACAAACGTATCAGTCGTTGTTGCGTTATTTGAGAACAAAAGTCCAACAAAGATCAATTGGAATTTTGTCAGCCTCTTATGCTCAAAAGACGTAGTTGTTAACAACCAATAAGCCAACACAGTCTTGCAAGTGCCCTCCCAAGATCTCATTAGTGTTGGCAATGTTGCCGGATGTGCCTTTAACAATGAACATTACTAGCTAGAATTTTGATTTTGATTTTGATTTTGATTTTTTTATATTTAAACATTTTTATCCTAGTAAATTGTTATTAATGTAGTTTAAAAATTAAAAGAATTTATCAATGAAAAAACCTTTTTTTTTTTTTTTTTTACATATAGTTAAATCTATTCTCCCAATAGCAAAAGCAATTTAAAATTGATCAAAACAAACACCTCATAGATTTTATCTAAAGCTAATTATTTCAAAAGTTGGCTTAAACGTAATTAAGAGAAAAACTACAAAAATCTCAAACTAAGCTTTAGATTCAAAATATTATTTTGTAGTACATATGACGTTATGTTTTTCAAATTACAGTTAATATAAAAATTAGTTTAATGTAATAAGAATAACATTAACATGTATATGAAAAAGACATTTTTTTATCATCTAATTATCCTATGAATATATTTATTAACATTATTAAAATTTGATCTTTTTATGGTCTCCCACGTTAAAAGAATCATTATAAACCTCATATGTAAAATTAATAATGTCCTCACAAATTATAATGTTCCAGCAGCTTTACTAAATGAATACCAAGACAATGTTTGGAAATATTCAAAGAAAATCATAATCAGGCACGTCACACGTGACACACACGCCGCGGTGGAAAGTCTAAAGTCTAAAGTCCTCGGTCACCACCACTGGTCTCGTGAGAATCGTAAAATAGGGAATCGTGATGCACATTGCACACAAATATAATCTAAATTTGGACTATTTACACTTTCATCCTTATGATATGGTATTAGTATGAGCAAACGACATGTTCCCACCTAAGGTTTATCGAAATCCAAGGTTCATACCCTTGGTTTGATTTATTTCAGATACCCACCCTTAATCTAACGCTGTTTCTTTCATTTTAAAAGGTTAAGGGTAAAAGTGTCAAAACCCATTTCTCTCAACTCACCACCGTTGACTGCTTTCCTTCTTCTTTTCCTCTTTTCCTTTTCTTTTTCTTCTTCTCCTCTTTTCCAGATTCTTTCTCTTTTTCTTCTCTTCTCTCCACCAGATTCTTCCTCTTCTTCTTCTTCTTCTTCTTCTTCTTCTCCTCTTTTTCTTATCTGTTTCTTCTTCTCTTCTCTCCACCAGATTCCTCTTCTTCTTCTTCTTCTCCTCTTCTTTTTTTTCTCTCTTTCTTTTTCTCTTCTCTCCACCAACTGCTTCCCCTCTACCACTGTTGGGGAAAATTGAGGTTTTGGAGGTGGAAGGGTGGTGGTGTTTGTGGTGATGATGAGGACGGCCAACAGAGCTGAGATTGAGCCAAATGGGACCGAAATCTGGTGGTGGTGAGGGATTGCAATGGCGGTAGATGGGTGGAATGGTGGTGGGTGGTGGTGGTGACTTTGGGGTTCTGGGAGGGAGAGAGGAGCATGGCAGGGAGAGAAGCGTCAGAAGAGAATAAGGGGGAAATGAAGAAGAAGACGAAGATGGGATTGCAATCGGGTGGTGGTGAGGGATTGTAATGGCAGTAGATGGGTGGAATGGCGGTGGGTGGTGGTGGTGGTGACTTTGGGGTTTCGGGAGGGAGAGAAGAGCGTGGTTGTGGCTGTGGCTGTGGCTGTGGCTGTGGCTGTGGGAGGGATAGAAAAGCGACAGAAGAGAAGAAGGGGGAGATAAAGAAGAAGACGAAGATAGGAGGGTAGTTTGGTAATTGCTCTCTTCAGAATCCAATAGTAACTAACACTGTTAGTTTAAGGGTGTGAATCTGAAATAAATGAAACTAGGGGTATTACTTTTGGATTTCGTCAAACCTCGGGTGGGAACATGTCGTTTACTCTATTAGTATTACCTAACCTTCAATACTATAGCAATAGCATACCAACAATTTAATCCAGTTAAGTGAAACTTTTTAATACTTTCAATTTTTATTTACATGTTATTAGAAATGAATAAAATTTAAAAAATTTAAAAGTTTGATATTTTAAATTTTTTTATGTGCTCACTCGAGTTTTTACTTTGATGAATATTTCTATTTATAAATATGATAAATCATATTTAGATGATGTTTTGATAGTTCATGATTGTGAAATGAAATAGGATTTATAATTTGCTATAAATGTTTCATATTGTTGATACGAAAACTCATACCAATCAGAGAGATCCGATTGACCTTGACGAAACCAAAACCGATGTGTTCGCGATTTAATGTAAACTAGCAATGCAATGTAAATGTGCCATAACAATAAAGAACACAAGTGAATTTTTAAAGTGGTTCAACAAGTTAGAATGGGTTAGCCAAGTGGTAAAGGCTCGGGGCTAATGGGTTTGCTCCCCTTGTGGTGTCAAGTTCAAATTACAAGAACGGTTATTAATATTGTTGACTATAAACTATACGGTTTATCCTGTTTTGGAAGCTTTGTTCGAGGTCAGGGGACTAGTCAAGGTGAAAGTAAGTTGGCCTGGACACCCTTGGTAACAAAAAAAAAAAAGTTAGAACTTAAGCCTATGTCCACTGTTATCTTATTACTTTGAGAGTTTACAAGAGATTATATAAAGTGCCTAGAATAATTTGCTAACCGCTCTCTCATAATTTGAGGGGATATTTATACAAGTTTTAGTAAAAGGAATGAAAGATAAGTTCAGGATTGCAATCAGATTTGATATGCAATCCTGTGATTTTCTTAATTGAGCACTGAGATTGCGCTACTAGCAGTGTTAATCTTATGTATTCCCAAATATCTGAGATTGAAGCTTATCTTTGGTCTGTCGAACAGTTGTTAAATTGGTCGTTGTGACGAGCTTCAATTAAATCGAGCTTACTTTGGATAATATTGATTTTGGGTCGAGCTTGTTCTTCGGTTGAGTTGATTATAGGTCGAACTACATCTCTACGAACTTCTGAGGTCTGTGATCTTTCTAGCAAAATCACACACAACACATATTACTCTTGGACCTCAATTAGCATTCTTATGAAAAATTGATCTTTTATTTTTTTTATATTTGAGGTATACAATATACTTTTTACTTTTTTTAACATTTATTCATTTATAGGAAAATATGAATAAAACAATAAAAAGTATTATAGACTTTTTATCGAAAAGTCTTAGATGATTGAACTAGACTACTACAGTATTCAACTATTCATATTCTATAGTATAAGTATTGGAGGTACGTTAATGTATTCCAACCTTGGGGACGAAATTGGAAATAACCTTTTAAACTTTCAAGTCTTCGATCTTAGAGTCAGTCTCTGCCACCCACACCAGTTACTGACTCCCAAGCGCACGCTGGAACAAGCGAATACACTTTCACTCTCTACTCGTGCGCGTATGTCAAACTCCTCCATTAAAATAAATCCACCCAAACTGACAGGTAGATAATAAAATTCCCCAGGAAAAAAAAAAACCAGCCATTACTATATATCCATCCACCCTGCTTACTCTGAAACAGAAAAGCGCCATCTCTTTCTTTCTTTCTTAAACGGAGTCGTTTCTTTTATCAATGGAGGTTGTGGATACTCAAGCTTTGTCAAACTTCGATCTCCAGTCGAAGTCTCCGTTCTCTTACATGAGCATTTCCGCTTCCGACTCCCGTTCTCCTCTGAGTTCCGAGTTTTCCGACGAGGTTGTGAGTGGAACCATGGACGCGCCGCCGGACTCGTCTTCTCAGTCGAGTGCTGCGGCAGCCGTGAAGCTTCAGAAAGTTTACAGGAGTTATCGCACACGGCGGAGGCTGGCTGATTCGGCTGTTGTAGCGGAAGAGTTGTGGTAGGTGCACAGAGTTCTTGTACTACTACTTGTTTTCCATGGTTTTTTTTTTTTTAAATTAATTTTTTCTTATATAAATTAAGTTAACAGTAAATGGTTGTGATATTACAGGTGGCAAGCGATAGATTATGCGAGGCTGAATCATAGTACGGTGTCGTTTTTTAATTTCTCGAAATCAGAAAGTGCGGCTTCGAGATGGAATCGAGTTTTCTTGAATGCTTCTAAGGTTGTTAAACCAATTTTTATAATTAATCTCTTGTATTTTTCGTTGCTGTTATTAAGATTTAACTGGGTTGGTTGACTTTTGACAGGTAGGAAAGGGCTTGTCCAAAGATTCTAAGGCTCAAAAATTGGCGTTTCAGCATTGGATTGAAGCTGTAAGTTGACTTTCATTTTTTGCTTTTTTTTCTTTTAAATAATTTTTAACAGCATTGAGTTTTACCGGTTTATAACTTAAATGGTATTCTGTGTAACGAGATGATGGTGAGTTAGTTTTTAGTTGAATTTAAATATTGTATTATGTTTTTTAATCTGTTGTTGGACTGTAGATCGATCCGCGGCATCGATATGGGCATAGTTTGCATATGTATTATGAAGAATGGTGTAAAGCTGATGCTTGTCAACCATTTTTCTACTGGTGAGTAAATTTTAGTTCCGTGGAAAGTTCATACTTAACCAACAAATAATATAAGTTTTTAATAAAAGAAAACAGTGAATAATTAGTTCATTACTATGTGCACAATATTCAAGCCGTGATGCCATGGTCCAAATTAAATCATTTATGGGGTAATAGTTTAAGGCTGCTTATGAATTTTGTCTGTTACTCTGTCCCATAATTGGCAACAACCTTTGTATCAAATATGTCGATAGAATTGTCTTTTTGAATGAGAGGATTACCCCCTCTTATAACCCAGTGGGCTTGAGCATGCCTAGTCATGCCTGTTGATAGAGGTAGTTGTTGGTTCTAACTCTTCACCCTCACTTAGTTCAAGTGGGTCTAGCTCTAATACTATGATAGAATTTGAGGTGAGTCCGACTCCTCATCCAATAAGACCTTTTTGAATAGGAGGATTACCCCCTCTTATAACCTAGTAGGCTTGAGCGTGCGTAGTCGGTGTGAGACTCACAACATTATTGTGTTTGACAGATAGGTCTTTATACAGTCTCACAAATTTTTTAATGAAGGAATTAGAAATGATCTGATTGATATGGTCTTGATCTCCATGTGTATCTTTTGGAAGTCACAAATTCTTCAAATATGTAGTAGAATGGTTGCTGATTTTCTTTAATAATCACATGGAAATTGGACACTAGATAAGGACACTAGAGAATGTGAGTTTGGGTAGTTGAGTTTCTCTCTAGAATAGCAATAGAATGGTACAGAGGGAGTAGAATTACATACTTATCTTTCTTGAACAAGAACCAAATCCAAGTCTTTAAAACCAAAAATTTGAAATTGGAAAAGAACAAGAAGCAAGGGATGTTTTGATCTTTACTTTTAGTGGTCGCCTTTTACAAACCAATGCTGCAAAAGTATTGAAGTTAATGCAATGTTATCTGTATGCTATGCAGGTTAGATGTAGGAGATGGCAAGGGCCTTGATCTCAAAGAGTGCCCAAGATCAAAGCTTCGTCAACAGTGCATTAAATATCTGGGACCTGTATGTGCTTTGCATAATTCATATTCAAGATATTGTAATTGATGTTACTGCATCAGTAGAATACATATTTTGAAATGTCTGTATGAAAATAGTCCAGTTGTAGCAACCTAACATGCTTTTTGTTTTCCTTCCTCTCCCCCTTTCTATTTGTCCCCCTCTTCCTGGTGGCTGATATTTGCTGAAATTAGAAAGAGAGGGAACATTATGAATACATTGTTGTCCAAGGGAAGATTATTCACAAACAAACTGGAGATCTCCTTGACATGAATAAAGGACCACAGGGGGCCAAGTGGATATTCGTTATGAGCACCTCAAAAAGACTTTATGCTGGTGAGGTAGGAATTTAGAGAATGAAGAACAACTTTTGACACCCTTCTCCTACTTCTTGTGGTCTGCTATATTCCAAAATAACTAATTCACTTTTTACCTTCCAGAAAAAGAAAGGAATGTTCCATCATTCAAGTTTCTTGGCAGGAGGAGCTACTATAGCTGCTGGAAGGCTTGTGGCAGAGCTTGGAATTCTGAAGGTATTTTTCCATAAGGCTGGGCAAGTTGTTAACAGTGTTAGGAGATGCAAGAGTTTTGCAAAACTCAATTATTTAGTATGGAAATTTGACTTGTGGAATAACTTTGGTAAACCTTTTTATTAGAAGGGTTTATTATTGTTATCCTCACCACTACTAGTTATATATGTATACCCTCATTTTGTTGTTTACATTTTGAATACTATGTTAGTTGTTGAAAATCCATCACTAGTGTGGCATTGAAGAGAGAAGCTGCCTATCTTCACCTTCAATTCACAGAGGCAAATGCACTTTAGTGGTTATCCCTAATTTAAGCTATGGTCTAATGTGGTTATGTATGGCATCTGATCCTTGTTTATCTGTACTTCACAGTCAATCTCTGCATATAGTGGGCATTACCGGCCAACAGATGACAGGCTTGATATCTTTTTATCCTTTCTCAAGGAAAATGGAGTGAACATTGATGAAGTTGAGGTAATTCTTCTATAGCAACGTAGTTGTCCTACACATTTGTGAGTTCGACAATGTTGAAATTTCGCTAGCAGAAGTCTGTGTTGTGGAACAGAAGTTGGGTCAAACATGGTTGAGCGGCTCAACCCCTAGGCAGTTGCCTAGGCCCCATATAGGGGAAGGCCCCACCAAGAAGTTTATATTATATTATATTTATTTTAAAAAGATATATAAAAAGATATAGAGTTTTACTAATTATGTTCTAATTAAACCGTAAAAAAAGAAAATATATTTTCTCTTGTAAGTAATTAATCTTATGGAAGATTGAATAAAATTATTCATTTTGCCTGGTTTTTTAAAACAGAGTGACATCAAACATTATACTGTAGTAACGTGTGGGAGTAAAAGTTCTTTCACCAATATTATATGTTAAATTATAACTAGTTTATTATTTACAACATTCAGTTAATATATAATATTTTCAAACTCAAATACTACTAAATTAAACGTTTGCATATAAGTTAATCTTATGTAAAATTTAATCTCTATTATTATACTATTCAAACTTCAACTTATCTTTTTCACTTTATGAAATCATATTCTTGTCAGTTTTGGATCTTGAAAGAGTAAGAATAAAGATATAATCATTTTTATTCTCATTCAACCAAATTCCAGTTCTAAAATTATTGTGTATTTTTGTTATTGTATTGTTTATTTCAAATTAGTATTACCATTTTTATTTATTGTGTATGCTTATTTATTAAATGTTTGTTTCCAGTTAATTTTGAATCTTCAGCATGTCTAACAGAATTTTTATATAAAAAACATAAGAAAAAGTTAAGGTAGACTGAAAAGTTAGTTAAATTGCAAAATATAGAATTTTCAATAACGTTATCATGAACTTTAAATGATGTAGAATGAACTTTAAATGAAATATATTTAGTAAAAGAATAAATTAATAATAAGTGGATTCTATATGAATTATCCTATTTTTAGAGTTTTGGCCTTAGGCCCCAAATGTCCTTGAGCCAATGTCAAAGTCTGTCTAGCTGTCTCTATGAAAGTGACTGTATAAAACCCAAACAGTATTTGAGATTTTCTATGGTTCTGATAGCGTTTTCCTTTTTTGAAACATGGAGGTCATAATATTGGCAGTCTAATTTATTTCCTGGTAAACATTTCTTTATAGTCATTAATGGCATCATTTTCCAGATACACAAGGCAAGTGAAGATTATTCTGATAGCTATAGTGATAGTAAATCTGTCAAAGTTGAGACTACAGCTGAAGTGTTCAGTAACTCTGAGCTTGCAATGGCCAAGGAAAATCTGTCTTCAGAACAACCATCTGAAGTTAAACAAACGGAGGGTAAAAGTAATTATCAAAGGACTTTATCTGGAGGTCTTCAGAGCCCGAGGGCTGAGGTGCCTAAAACTGCTATATTGCAAAGGATCAACTCTAAGAAAGCAGCGAACTCGTATCAATTAGGAAATCAGCTCTCGCTTAAGTGGACAACTGGAGCTGGCCCAAGAATTGGTTGTGTTGCTGACTATCCTGTGGAATTGAGTGTGCAGGCCTTGGAGTTTGTTAACCTATCTCCGAGAACTCCTACTGCACCTCCCTCGCCATTTCCCTCCAGGTCCAGGCGCATTACTCCTCTTGCATCACCGACTACCGCTAATGCCACATCGGGTGCAAGTCATGAGTATGGTATGTGATATCAGTTAGATGCCTTCTTGCTAGTGAATGTATAATCTGTTGTGCTCTTTTTGTCACTTCTGCCTTTAATAGGATTATGAAATCAGATTTTCTCCTAAACGTCAGATTGTTTTGTGATGCCCGTAAGTTGTTGTGGTGATAAGTATATGTGTATACAGTTTATGGGATATATTGAGTCTTTCTCTTAGATAAGTAAAACCATTTCAAAATACAGATAATTGTGTGGATCAAATTCGACAGAGAGTAATGGCCAATTAACGAGAGAGGTGACGTAAACGTTAGTTTTAATAGATTGTGCAAAATCAATGAACTGAAAAGAAATCTTGAGATTCATTAGAATTCTGATGTTCTAAAACAGAGTCTAACACCACAGTTTAGGGTTAAAAAAAGTAGATATCAACAGTAAAAAGATCTAGGTTGAGCAATTGGGCTTTCTGTCCAGTTATTGTTGCCAAAGAAGCCCTTCTCTAGCTGCACCAACATCAAGTGCAAGTAGTGAAAATGGAAATTAATAACTCCAAACATAAGCAATAGAAAAAGAACCGAAGCTATAGGATTAGGATGTGTTTGTTGTGTTGTATTCGACGGCACAAACAGCCCTAAAATTTTTAAATATTTATTTGGAGAGTTTACTACCATGTGAGACATCTTGTTTTTGTGCACTTCTTTTTAATACGGTTGGACATTGGAATTCCAACTAATTTTAAATAAATATAAATATTTTGACTTATACAGTAACTTAATTAAATTATTTCATAAAAAAATTAATTTACATTAAGAAAAGTAAATTACTAAGAAAAGAATTAAAACTTTTTAGTTGTTAAAAATATATACACAAATTGAAAACCTTCATAGATTCGAGAATAAATTAATTCAAATTTGAAACCAAACCCTAATATTAAAAAGTCAAATTCTAACTTGAGATTTAAATTATCTTAAATTCAAGGGTTTTTTTTTCTTTGCCAAAATATGATGATTGAAGATCCCATAAATGTAAAAGAAGTAGAGTTTTATTTATTTTTTGGTTTGACTGTTAAAAAATTACAGTTAATTATATAGAAAAGAAAGGTTATATTGAAAAGAAAAGTAAAAAAGGAAGCAAAAAAAGAAAAAAGAAAAAAGAGGGATAAATAATATGAGAGGTTTTAGTGGTATTTTAATGATAATATACAATAGTATATATATAATTAACTAGGTTAGCTCACTCTAAATACCTCCCTTGATTAAACAAGATTCATTAATGTGAAGAGATTAGAGATATTATCGAAATTGAAATGTGTTTAATTTTTAAAGAGAGGAGATGGAAGACATTTGCCCTTCCTAAATATTGCAAGATTGTATTGTATATATACCATTTGACACCCCTAGGTTTGATGCAAAAAATTATTTGCCTCTAAGTTTAGGAATCTCAAAATAGAGTTTTCATTAATTAAATAAATAGAAAGACATTTAGAATAAACGGTTGGTAGTTTTAATTAAATGACGGACCACTTTTACAATAAAAAAAATTATAATACAGTATAAAAACAGTTAAGCCGTTTGCTAAAACTGTTAGTCGTTTGGCCACTTTCAACCGTTTGTTTGCAATATATATTCTATCGTTGCATCTAACTAAAGAAAACAGTATTTAAGGGTGACAACAATAATTTTCCAAAATTAGACAAAAAAACATTTTTGGGTCAAACCTTAATAAATCACTATCTTTAATCCTCCAAGGCTTTCGTAACCAAATAAGTGTTAAGAGTATATGTGCTTTTCTATCAACATAGTTAATTCTATGTTCTAAGATAATCTATTTAGAATAAAATATAAAAAGAAGACGCATACACCATTACCTGGTCCTGAATAAAGGTAAGAAATTTGCTTCGTAAAAGACAATACTCTCAAGGCTTGCAGGCACCTGAATATTTCATTAATTTTCCTTTATATTGGCTTAATTAAACTCTTTAATCATATATAAGTATTAACCATAGAATACAATAAATTCTCACCTTCCTTTCCGAACCCTGACAAAGCTCAACACAGGCAACTTTCAAACCCAATGCTGTGAATTTCAGCATCAAAATTCATGAAAATACCTTGAGCTGATGAGCGTAAGAATCCAACTTGGTAAAATCAATATTTTGTTGACTCCTGTAAATAAAAACACCATAATACAGAAAAAAAAAAAAAAAAAGTATTACAATGCTTGTTCAAGTAATTTGAGATTTACGTACATATATTTTTTCAACTCTGTTATAATTCTTTCGGTGTCATTGCAAAACAAAGTGATCACTTCATTCACAAAATCAGGATTACTTGAATCTTGCAGAGCTTGAATTTGAGAAAATTGGCTGTCCAGCATGCCCTGAAATGCATTTCACTCATTATTTCTGACCTGGTAATTTCAAAAATGATGGCAAGATATGAATGAATTTAACGAAGCTCTTGATTTGTGCTTCTTGGGAAGGAAACGCCATCTTCACTGAGATTATGGAGTGTAGAGAATTGGATAAAATGAAAGAGAGAAAAAGTAGAACCAATTAAGATTTTCTTTTACAGAGATGCACCAAAGTCAAACTCACTTTTATCTTCTCCAAATAGATTTTTGTTCACACGGGTGAATTTCATTTTCCTCCTTTAAACATCTTAACGACTTTCATAAAGTATTAGAAAACACTTTTTTTTTATATATATACTTTATGATGGGTTTTAAATATATTTTAAGGGGTTTTCAGTAATTTTATGAAGATGATTAATATTGTCAAAAAATTATTGAGGGCGTTTGAGACTGTTATCTCTAAGGGACGAATTAGATTAACCCTACCTCGGACACTTGCAACATAAAATTTTATTTTAGAGAAAATGACACATTCCCACCTGAGGTCTAGCGAAATCCCAAGTTGATACCATTGGTTGCATTTGTTCTTGATTTCCATCCTTAAAGTAATATCGTTTCCTTTATTTTAACAAATTCCTAATTTTTCACTATAATACGGTACACGTTAGTACGCTAAAGTATGTTGGAGCTTTCTTTGGCCGAAGAAGGGCTCATGTTAGTGTTAGGGCCAAGAATTGTCCTTGGCCCAAATAGAAGAACGGGACTGAATGAGGAAGAGACTAGACCCAATCCCGATGCGGCCCCATCCGGATTAGGCCCATCTGATACGAGATATAGTCGGCCCAAACCATCGGGTCCGGGCCTCCAAATCCCAGTTCACTTCCTGGACATATCACTTTCCTATTCTAGATCAGTCTCCTATTCGAGGTCACCTTCCTGTTCAGGTCACTTTCCTACTAGAGGTTACTTTCCTGTTCGGGATCACCTTCCTATTTGAACACTGGTAAGACAGCTCACCGCCGCCCTAATTCCTCTAGGATTTGTATCAGAGTCACATTAGGACTTCTACTCCTACCAGGACTGGGAGACCAGACAGTCACTATATAAGCAGAGGCCAGCCCTCTCACAAGGGACATTTAGATTACATTACACCTTCACACCCGAAGCTCCTACTTGAGAGCTTCACATCATTGCCGTAGTCACAGTCCCCGACTAGACTTCCGGTAAGGTTTCTACTCCCTAGCCCTCACTATACTAGCCTCTTTCAGCCTTGCTGACTTGAGTGTCGGAGTGCCTACAGCAAACACCACCCAGGTATTTTTCGTTCGTTTCACACTTGTTTCTCTACGTGTGCAGGTGCAGCAGATCGCTAGTGGCCTCAACCTTACGGGATCAGACCCCCCTTCCGTACAGGTAGATTTTTACGTCTACAGTTTGGCGCCTACCGTAGGGCCTCTAGCAATCATTTAGCTCGACGAACCTTGCTATGTAGAGGAATTTTCCATGGCTGACCCTTCAGACAAAGCTAACTCCGGCCTCGAGGCTAGATTGGAGGCTCTGACCGCTCTCATGCAATAAAATTCAGACAAGATGGCCGCACTGGAAGTCGAGAACAATGCACTCCGGAGCGAAAATGCATCCATCACAGCCGAAAACCAGTCTCTTAAAGAGAAGGTGAGTCAGTTCTATGATATGGAGCTTCTGCCTTGCCAGGTACCTCCCAATCGATTCCGCGCCCCAGTTCCATCCATGCAACCTCTCCAAACCCTAGAGCACAGACCCTCGGCCTCTGGTAAAAGGCCACGTTTATTAAGTTCATCGGTGGTCGACGACTCGATCCTGACTCATGGAGGAAAGGATCTGCCAACAGAATCCCATTCATCCGATCCACCTCAGTCTTGAGATCAAGACGCCCAAGAGACAGAGACCCCACACCTGCAAGACCAACCCATTCTTACCATCCAGCCTCACCTCCAGTCAACCATCCCCGCACAAACACCATTCAGCTCGGCTCACCTTCACGGGTTGAACGGCCAACCTAACCAAACTATAGCACTCGAGCCCACCCATCCTGATGGACCGAACGAATATCAAACAACCCCCTTGACCATTCATGTAGGGCGAAACACCAGATCAGTTACCATAGGAGTTATCTGACCAGAGGGAATGAACGGAGATCCGGGCTACCAGGGTGTGCACGAAGGAATGATCCACCAGACTACACCGCGCGGGATGACCCAACAGAATATGCCAAGGACGAATGCAATGGTTGACCCAGTCAAACGGGATGACCTAGTGGTATCCCCCTCTCCTATGGAACAGGTACTGGCTAAGAGGCTGGCTGATGTAGAGGCAGTGATGAGGCGCATCCAAGGAATGCCGGTCCCGACCAAGAAGAGCAGGCCTCACTGTTACATGGATTCACCCTTTGTGGACGAGATCGCCCTAGCCGACATGCCCCGGAAGTTTACTATTCCCAGCGTGAAACCCTACGACGGCACAACCGACCCAGATGATCACATAGCCTCGTACAAGCAGCGGATGTTCACTGTCTCAATACCCCGAGCACTGAAGGAAACCTACATGTGCAAGAGTTTTGGTTCAAGCTTATCTGGTCAAGCACTCCAATGGTACACAAATCTCCCAAACGGTTCCATCGACTCATTCGCTCAGCTTACCGACACCTTT